GGGGACCGTGGGGAAATCCCTGCGGCTGCGCCCCAGGTCCCGGCTCTCGCATGACTGCGTCTCCCTGTACATCCAGGCGCAGGTGAGCGCGAGCCCCGCCCGCCGCACCGGCACCCGGGCGGGAGGGGGCGCTGTTGGAGAGGAGGGCCCGCCAGAGGCCAGCGTTGTAGGCTCACGTTGTCCCTACGTTTATGAGAAGGCCTGGGTGAGCCCACAGGGGAGCTAGGTCCCTCAGAAGGCTAATCTCTCTTTTTTTAAAATTATTTACTTAATATTAATGATTTTTTTTTTCAATTTGACCAGAGAAAGACGGAGAGAGAGAGAGAGAAATAGCAAACCACCAGATCCAGGACTTGAACTGTGATCCACCCTGTGAGATTTGTGTCTTAACCACTACGCCACCTGCGCGTGCCCAAGGCTAATCTTTTTTTTTTTTAAAGAATTTATTTAACTTCATTTATTCATTTGTTTATTTCAATTTGATCAAAGAGGGACAGAGAGAGAGAGAGAGAAAGTGAGAAAGCAAGCCATCAGGTTCGGGGCTTGAACCACATTCGGCCATGTGGGAATCCAGCGCCCTTAACCGCTTTGCAACTTGCCCTGCTCCCCAAGGCTAATCTTAACCACTTGCTGCCGTGTAACTGGGGCATCAGGTGGTTTCTGAGACCCTCCTCCATTGAAATGTGCTTTCCAGCTCTTCTCCACCAGTCCAAAGGCTGTTTATTCTTCTAAGGAAAATCTAAAGTAATTTTAATTTAAGAGCTCAAGGAGGTAACAAAGAATGACCAAAATACATTCTTCATTCAAAACAAAAAGCTAAAACTTTTCCGTTTCTGATTTTGCCACATTTGTTTTGCTCCTCAGAGAATTCATGCCCATTCTTTAAAAGTTGGCCCCCAAATCACTTCATTGTAGTTAATTTCTTTGGAATATTTGGTCTCAATTCTGATATCTCTCTATTACCTTTGAGTTCTTATAATACTTAATCGTTTCGCATTTATATGGTGCTTGTTTTTTGTTTTTAGTTTTTTTTTTTTTTAAGAGATTTCCTGTGCTCATGGGAGAGACAGAGACAGCGAGAAATCAACCCCCATGGGCTAGGCCATGCCCCAGTTCCTTCGCTTCCATTCTCTCTGGATTTGGGGGACACACTCACACACCCCCGGTGTGAGTTTCAAGCTGCCAGATCTGGGACTGGTTGATTACATAGAAGTTCAGCACCTTAGCTACAATGCCACCTTCTGGCCCATTCTTTTTAGTTTTTGCTATAGGACTTGTGCTCTCCCTGGAGAGAGACAAACAGAGAGGGAAAGTGAGAAATTACTCCCCAGTGGGAATGGCCACACAGCAATCCCTCCTCTAACCTCTTCTTGGAATTGTGGGCATGCTTGCACATGCGTGATTTTTGAAGCCATTGGATCTGGTACTGGAACCAGAGAGTCGGCTGTGTGGGATCCAGCTGCCTTAATCACCACACCACTTGCTGGCCTTTCTGGTGCTTGCTTTTTAAGAAATAAATCTGACATTCTGTGTTTGGAACATAACACTTTAAAATATAAACAGCAGGCCGGCATGAGCCTTGATGGTTAAGGCAGTTGGATCCCACATGGCCAGCTCCATCTACCAAGTCTCCCTGGAGTCTCAGTTGGAGCCCTGGAACTAGGGGTTGAAAAATACTTATGGAGGGGGACCAGCAGTTAGCGTAATGGCTTTGTCGCTGGACTCCCACGTAGTCGACCGCGGTTTGAGTCCCGGACCCAGTGACTTAAACTCACGCCGGGCATGTGTGTGTGCATGCCCAAGATCCCAAGAGGAGAATGGAGGAGAAGGGATTGTGGCGTGGCCATCCCCCCAGAGAGGTGATTTCTCACTTTCTGTCTTTCTCTGTCTTTCTGGCGAGCGCGTGTGCCCAATAGCAAAAACCTCTCAAAAAAAAAAAAAAAAAAAACACTTATGGAGAGTGTGATTTTGTGCCTAAAATCTTTTTTTTTTTTTTTAATATTGTGTTCAGTTTTATTCCTTGTCATTCTTTTCTTTTCTTTATTTTTTTTTTAAGCTTGACCAGAGAGAGAGAGAGAAAGGGAAAGTGAGAAATCAAGCTGCTACTTCCGGGACTCAAACTGCAGTCAGCCATGTGGGAGTCCAACTGCCTTAACCACCACACCACCTGCCAGCCTCAGGCCCAAAATCTTGACAGGAGGAGAATGGAGAAGGGATTGTGGCATGACTGTAGTGGCTGGGCTTTCTCTCTCTGTTTCTGTCTGTCTCCCTCTGGGGAGTGCACGTACCCTCTGGCAAAATTAAAAAGACAGATAATGAAAGTATGTCACAGAGTTTATGGAAAAAGTATGAGGATTTTTTAAAAATTATTTTATAATTTTAATTTTTTATTTTTTTGCCAGAGAGGGCAAGCATTCGAGAAAGAGCAAGGGAAAACAGTCTAACAAAATGAAATACGAAAATTGCAGAAGGTTGGCAGAGATTGTTAGAGATAATACTGATTATATTTACTGTTTGTTGGAGAGCCTGTGAGGAAATGGATGCTGTAATTTATTGCTAGTGGAAATAAATTATAGATGCATAGAACTTTCTGGGATCAATATTCATCAAAACTCTTGAACCAAGATCTTGACTTTTAAGTTCCATATTAGTATTCTAAAGTAATAGTGAGACATTTTAAAAATTTATTTAATTCTATTTGTTGTTATTATTATTATTGTTTTTAATTTGACCAGAGGGAGAGAAAGGAAAAGTGAGAAAGCAAGCTGCCAGGTGCAGGACTCAAACCATCGTTGGCCATGTGGAAATCCAGCACATTTAACCACCACACCACCTGCGAGCCCCAATATTGAGACTTTTTAAGTTTCTTTCTTCCTGTCTTTCTTTCATGTGAGAGAGAGACAAAAATCGGGAGAGACAGGCAATCCCAATGGGGATTTCATGCCACCATTCACCCCAGTCTTAGCCATTCTGGATCATGAACACACACAAATACCCAGTGCTCAGGGAGGTCCCAGGATGTGAACCTTGGATCTTTCCCATCTGGGTCCAGTTGAGTTACCACTATGCCACCACCTGGCCCAGAATGTATTTTTTAAAACATTTATGTGATATAGTAATACATATGCTTTTTTATTAACACATTAAATAATGTCAATAATTTGTCTAATAGTTTCGGTAGTTTTTTTAAAGAATTATTTAACTAATATATTTATTTCACATGAGTTTTACCAGAGAAAGAGAGGGAGAGTTAGAAAGCAAGCCACCAGGTCTGGGACTCAAACTGTGGTCGACCATGTGCGAGTATCTAGCACTTTAACCACCGTGCCACATGTTGGTCCTTTTTAGTAATTTTTAAGTTATTGATGAGCATAGATGATATTTTGAGTTATCTTTAAAGCTAGTTTAATAAGATTTTTTTCATTGCTATTGGTCACAAAGACCCAAGTACTGTAATACTGCTGTAGTTACTTTCTTATAGTCATAGTTAAATGCTAAATTTAGTAGGTTAGTGAAAAAAAATTTGTAATATTTTTTCCACTCCAAATCCATATGCTCTCAGTTCCCTTCCTATATATCTTAGGGATCCATAAACCCAAGGTTAAGAATCTCTGCATTAGAAATTGTTTTGGGGGGGAACCAGCAGTTAGCGTAATGGCTATGTCGCTGGACTCCCACGTAGTCAACCGTGGTTCGCTTCCCGGACCCGATGGCTTAAAACTCACGCCGGGCACGTGTGCGTGTGTGCCCAAGAGCCCGGGAGGAGAATGGAGGAGAAGGGATTGCGGCGTGACCATCCCCCCCTGGGGGGGATTTCTCGCTTTCTGTCTCTATGTCTCTCTCTGTCTGGCGAGCGCACGCGCCCTATAGCGAAAATCTCTCAAAAAAAAAAAAAGAAAGAAAAGAAATTGTTTTGGGGGACCAGCAGGTGATGTGGCATTTAAAGCGCTGAATTCCCAAATGGCTGTCCACTATTCGAGTCCCAGACCTAGTGGCTTGCTCTCTCACTTTCCCTCTCTCTCTCTCTCTCTCCTTGTCTGTCTCTTGCTGGTAAAATTAATAATAATAATAATAATAAATGAAATAAATACTTATTTAGAAAAAGGAGAAGAAACTGTTTTGGAACAGCTCTATGGTACAGGAGTAATTCATTGCTCTAGAAGCTGGATCCCTCATGACAACCATGGTTCAAATCCCCTAGTCCAGTCAGCCTGAGACACACCAGGCACATGTGCAAGTGTCCAAGATTCAGTGGGCTGGGGACCTTGAGGACTAAGATTGTAGATGACCAGATTCAGGGGAAGGTGCACATCTTTCTCACATGCACATGCTCTATCATGAATAAAGGAACAGAAATAAACCTGTGTTTTCTTATCCTGTTTTCTTCCCTAGGGAAGTGAACAAAAGATGGTAGAAGCCCAATCTCTGGAGTATTCTTGTCCCTGAAGGACTATCCCAAAGGAAGGGAAGCAATCCTGCCATATTGTCTAAAGGGGAGCGGGGTCCCCAGGTTGAGTTCTGACCTTTTTTTAAAATTATTTATTGAATTTTATTTATTCATTTATTTTATTTTGGCCAGAGAGAGAGACGAAAAGTGAGAAAGCAAGCCACTAGATCCAGGACTTGAACCGTGGTCGGCCATGTGGGGAGTGTCCATCACGTTAACCACCACACCACCTGCTGGTCCCGAGTTCTGACTTCTAAATAGGCCTAGTTTGCCCCACAGAATATGGTTAGAGAGTCATGTAGCAGAGGATAAAGTGACCTGGTTTAAAAATGTTGCTTAATATATAGCTCCAAATCCAGTCAGCTTCACCTTAGCAGTTACAATAGCAAAAGAAAGTTGGTACAATGGAAAGCGAAAGGAAAGAACAGTGCCAAAAAATTAAAACAAAAAACACTGCAAAAGAAGAATCAATAAGACTTTTTGATTGGATATAATTATAAAGCTAATTTAGAAAACTCTAAAAAAATACAAACTTTTTTATGGTTTGAAATGATAAACATCAGGAATCTAACTTAACTTATAAGCATGTAGTATCTTTACAGTTTCATACCAAATCATTGGAATTACTAGTTTATTCTGGAGTCTGAGAGTTTAATCCCTTTTCTCACATTTGACTCAAATGGTGATCATTGAGAGTATTAATAGATCTCTGGAGGGGACTGCAGTATTTTGAAAGTAGTATATGTTTCTGGTTTATCTTTGTTTTCTCAGGATTCTCAGCATGGCTTAGCTAATTACTTTTGGCTCAAAGTCTCTCACATTGTTGACCAGCTAGAGCGATAGTCTCACTTGAAAGCTCTTGTGGGGAAGGATCTACTTTCAGCTCACTCACATGTTAGTAGGACTCAATTCCTCACAGGCTTTTTTTCCTGAAGACCTCAGACTATTACCTCCTTCAGTTCCTTTCCGTGGGGTGGCTCACAGCACAGCAGTTGGCTCCCTCTCAGGGAGCACGCAAGAGAGAACACCCAAGATGGAAGCCACAGTATTTTGTAGCCTAAGCTTAGAAGTGACTTTCCACCACGCTTGAGAACTGTGCTCATTAGAAGCAAGTCACTAAATCTAGCCTATACTCAAGGGGAAGACATTACTCAAGGGCATGATTACTGAGAAGCAGGGAGGGACTGTTGGGGATCTAGCTTAGTGGATGCCTACCACTATGTAAGATCAATATTATGAATGATTAATTCACTCTCACTCAGAATATGGTGCTATCTGGTAAATATGCACTTTGAAACTATGAAAATTACTGTAGTTGAAAGTCTTATATAATCATTGTTTCCTTTTTTTCCAGAATAACCTGGGTATCTTGTGGTCTGAAAGAGAAGAAATTGAAACTGCACAGGCTTACCTAGAATCATCAGAAGCACTGTATAATCAGTATATGAAAGAGGTATGTTACATGTCAGAAAAATTTTAAGTTTTGGTTGAAACTAGTCGAGGATCGATCGTAAGAACTCATTTATCATAGTGCTGTGTCTCTTCAGCGTACCTGAAGTTGAAATGAAATAAACAAATAATAAAGTTGAATAAAAGAATTCTTTTAAAAAAAGACTTTGGGTTTTAAAGGTTAATCCTCAGAGGGCTGGCAGGTGGCATGGTGTTTAAGGGCGCTGGACTCCATGTGGCTGACCACAGTTTGAGTCCTGGACCTAGCAGCTTTCTCTCTCTCTCTCTACCCCTCTCCCTCCCTCCTTCCCTGTTCCTCTCTAGTCAAATTTAAATAAATAAATAAATAAAATAAAGTTAAATAAAAAACAATTCTTTAAAAAATAAATAAACAGGGACCAGCAGTTGGCATAATGGCTATGTTGCTGGACTCCCATGTAGTCAACCATGGTTCGAGTCCTGGACTCGGTGGCTTAAACTCACACCAGGTACGTGTGTGTGTATGCCCAAGATCCCAAGAGGAGAATGGAGGAGAAGGGATTGTGGCATGGCCATCCCCCCTGAGGGGGTGATTTGTCACTTTCTGTCTCTTTCTTGCGAGCACATGTACCCTATAGCAGAAACCTCTCCAATAAATAAATAAATAAATAAATAAAAATAATCCTCAGGGGGACCAGCAGACAGTGTGGTGGTTAAGGTGCTGGATCCCACATGGCCAACTATGTGGTTCGATTCTCAGATCCAGCAGTTTGAGGATCACACTTGGTATATATGTGTACGTGCCCAAAATCCTGAGAAGAGAATGAAGGATAAGGGATTGCAGCAGGTCATCCTCCAGGAGGTGCTTTCTCACTTTCCGTCTCTTTCTTACAAGCACATGTGCCCTATTGCAAAAAAAAAAAGTAAAATAATTCTCAGATAGATTTTAAATATTATTTTATTTAACTTTATTTTAATTTGACAAAGAGGAACAGATTATGAGAGAGAGAGAGGAAAAGTGAGAAAGCATGCTGCCAGGTCCGGGACTTGAATCAGGGTCAGCCTTGTGGGAGTCTACCATCCTTAACCACCACGTCTCCTGCCGGCCCCAATTCTCAGATAGGTTATAATGGCAATCTTAGTCTAAACAGAATTGTAAAGGAAATATTATTCTAATCTCCTAAAATACAATTTTTGTATTTTTATATTTATATTCTAAAAGCCCTATTTTAGATTCCACTGAAAATAGCAGTGTTTAAAGGAAAGCCAACAAGGGGACCAGCAGTTAGCATAATGGCTATGGTGCTGGACTCTCATGTAGTCGACCATGGTTCGCATCCCGGACCTGGTGGCTTAAAACTCACGCCGGGTGCATGTGCGTGCGTGCCCAGGATCCCGAGAGGAGAATAGAGGAGAAGGGATTGTGGCGTGGCCATCCCCCCTGGGGAGTGATTTCTCGCTTTCTGTCTCTCTGTCTCTCTCTGTCTGGCGAGCACACGTGCCCTATAGCAAAAAATACCCCTCAAAAAAAAAAAAAAGGAAAGCAAAGAAGTAGTACTTAAGCCAGCTATCTCTGATCTTTAAGACACTGGTTCTCAAACTTTAGTATCCCATCAAAATCACCTGGAGGCCTTATTCAGGCATAGCAGGTTGGTTTTCCAGAGTATGATTCAGTCGTTTTGAGGTGGGACCTGAGAATTAATGCACATAAGAGAGTCTGAGAGAGAAGTACCCTCTACAGGATGTCTTCATGCCATGGTTCCCCTTTCCTGAAAAACTCTAGCTTCTCAGGATATTAGGCACCTGCACACATGCGCCTTCATATTTGCAGGCTAGTCCAGGGATCTGGTTGAAGATACAGCTTCCAGCCTTGGGTGGCAGTTGCTTTATTGCTGTGCAAAAGCAGCTGAGTTGGTGGTCCAGGATGAAACCTAATCTGAGTGGACGTCTGGATGAGAGATGCGGATATAGGGCTGAGACCAGCTTGGGGAGGTGCCCTGGAAGGGGTCACCCAGGGCGGAACTGACACCCTGGCTCCTATTTCGTTTCAGGAGACACAGGAAGGGAAAGCACCAGAAAAAGGAGAATTCTGGTGGAAACAGCTAATGTTGTAGCTCTAAGTGGCCAATAAAAAAGACTCTGGAAGTGAAAACAAAAGCAGCTGAGTCAGATGTGCATTTCTCCCCTTTTTATTCATGTGGAGTACACGCATGTGAGGGAGGGAGATAGAAAGGGGGGAGCACTGCACTCTTCCCAAGGTCTGCTCGTGCTGCAGTCCCTTCCTCCAGCCCTTCAACCCGTTAGATCTTAGGCTCTTGCATGTGAACCCTGGGTGTTTTGGGATGACTGAACTGGGGAGTGAACTGTGGTTGCCATGTGGGATCTGGCTTCTCTTGAGCAGTACATTAGTGCTGCTTCATGGAGCCAGCACAAAATGTACCTTTTTTTTAATTGCCAGAAGGTGTGTGTTCTCATGCATATATGTACATGTGAGAGACCCCTTCGCTGGGATTTCCTCCACTCCTCCTCCTTGTCAGGATTTTTGGCATGCATACACACTTGCCTGGCACGCTTTTCAATCTGTTGGGGCCAAGATTTAAACCACAGTTGGCCTTGTAGGTTATGGTTCTTTTAACCACTGTGCTACAGGTCCAGCCCCTAGAATATGTATTTTTAAAAATACACATACATATTTTTGCCAGAGGGCATATCTACTCCCCAAAGAGAGACACAAAGTGAGAGAGAGGGGAAAAGTGAGAAGCAACTCCCATGGGGAGTGGTCATACCACAGCGCCTTCTCCATCTCTCCCTCCTTTCAGGATCTTATACATGCAAACATATGTGCTGGCATGTTTCTCAAGTCACCAGGTCCGGGACTCCAACCACACAGCTGACCATGTGGGATTGAGCCCTCTTAACCATCATGCCATGGGCTGGTCCAGAATGTGCTTTTTTTGTTTTGTTTTGGTTTTTTGCTATAGAGCATGTGTACTCACTGGAGAGACAGAAACAGAAAGCAAGAAATCACCCCCCGGGGGGATGGCCACATCACAATAACTTCTTCATTCTCCTCTCAGGATTTTGGGCACATGCGCATATGCATCCAGTGTGAGTTTTAAGCCACTGGGTCCAGGACTCAACCATGGTCGATTACATGGGAATCCAGTGATGTCACTATTACCCTATATGTTGGTCCCTTCCTTCACAGTCTTTAAGAAATAAAAGTCTCTGATTAAAAAAAACCCAAAAAAACAAAAACCAGTTTTCAGATTTCTTAAATTTGTGACTTCATCAGGTTGGTAAAATTATAGTTTCCAGCGCCAGCAGGTAATGTAGTAGTTAAGGCGCTGGACTCCTGCATGCTTACCTGTGGTTTGAGTGCTGGACTGGCCACTTGAAACTCAGGCTGGGTGCGTGTGCATCTGTACCCAAAAATCCCAAGAGGAGAGTGAAGGAGAAGAGACTACAGTATGGCCATCCTCTCTGGGGCCAAGGACACATGCACTATGGCAAAAATCTCTCCAAAAAATGAAAAAAAGCATAGCTTCCTTTTTGCCTACAAAAAGTTGACAGTTCTTTTTTTTTTTTTTATTTTAATTGAAACAGATTTTGTTTTGTTTCATTTTGAGATTGTTCGTGGTATCCATTTAAATAACCAGTGGTATTTTTGTTTTTGTTTTTTTGGAGAGGTTTTTTGCTATAGGGTGTGTGCACTTGCCAGAAAGAGAGAGACAGAAAGCAAGAAATCACCCCTAGAGGGGGATGGCCACGCCACAATCCCTTCTCCTCCATTCTTCTCTCAGGATCTTGGGCACACACGCACATACTCCTGGCATGAGATTTTTTTTTTTTTTGGAGAGGTTTTCGCTGTAGGGCGCGTGCGCTCGCCAGACAGACAGAGAGAGACATAGAGACAGAAAGCGAGAAATCACCCCCCAGAGGGGATAGTCACACCGCAGTCCCTTCTCCATTCTCCTCTTGGGATCTTGGGCACGCATGCACACGCGCTCGGCGTGAGTTTTAAGCCACTGGGTCCGGGACACGAACCACAGTCGACTATGTGGGAGTCCAGCGACATAGCCATTACACTAACTGCTGGTTCC